GGAATCCATGGCATAAAGGCTGGGCATCTCACCACCATGTCCTAGATCATGGTGGAGTCAGGAGTCAGCTCTGTCCTCTTATGACAGTGTAGTATAAGAGATGGTCTTAGCAAAGCATGTGTCACACAGAATAGAATAAAAATGATGTAATGGAAGAATGATGCTAGTATCTATGGCTCATTCAATTCATTTTCTACTAAATTCACTTTCCCAAGTTTCTTATTTTTATGTCTACTAGAATTTGAACCTAGGGGCTCATGCCAGACCAACATTCCTCAATGGAGCTCTATCCTCATTCCTTCTACCCTACCCTAGCCCACCCCACCCCATTTTTTTTATTTTTTTTTATTTTTTATTTTTTTACTTTTTATTTTGAAACAGTCTCACTAAATTTCCCTGGCTCACTTTAAACTTACCCAGTAGCCCAAGCAAATCTTGAACTCAGATTCCTCCTTCCTCAGCCTCCTGAGGATAATGAGACTACAAAGAGAAAAGACAATATACTAGTCTTCTGGAAATGATAAGTCATGGTCAAGTTACTAAATTTAATACAATCTACAAGATCTCATTAGTCAACAAACTAGGAGCTTCCACACCCTAGAAGCTTGGGAGTGTTACAAAAAGTCCTGTCTCATTGCCTCATAGTAACCATGGTAACCATGGTTCAAGGGAAGCAGCTATTCTTAACTACTGAAGGCCCCCAGTGGAAGAGTAAATATGTATTGGTTTCCAGCCTACTTTACCCAGTTGGCAGAAACTGCTGCACTTGTAGACTGGCGGCAAGTCAAGCTCTATGTGCCTCTTGACTGTTGTCTTAGTTACTGTTCTATTGTGATAGAACACTATGACCAAGACAACTTAAAAGACATTTAATTGGGGGTTTGCCTATAGTCTTGGGGGGTTATTTGATGACCCTCAAAGGGAGTGTGGTAGCAGGCAGGCAGTCTAGCTCAGGAGCAGTAGCTGAGAGCTCACATCTGATCTGCAAGTTGCAGGCAGAGATAGATAGATAAATATATATATATATATATGTATATATATATATATATATATATATATATATATATATATATATATAGAGAGAGAGAGAGAGAGAGAGAGAGAGAGAGCGCTGAAACCTCAAAGCCCACCCCCCAGTGACTCATCTTCTCCAACAAGGCCACACCTCCTAACCCTTCCCAAACAGTTCCACTAATTAGGGATCAAGCGTTCAAACATATGAGCCAATGGGGGCTGTTCTCATCCAAACCACAACTGTCTTCCTCTCCCTCTCTGTCCACACTCCCACTCTCACCATCTTGACTTAGACTCTTTAAAATAGGCCCTTTTATAAGTCCGGCAAATCCCCACCCTGTTCTGTGTCCCCTTCCCTTACTCCTCATCTTACTTTCCAGCCAGAGTCCACTTTCTAAAACATAGACAGGGTCATTGACCTTCCCTCATTGAAGACCCTTCTATGACTGATTCTTGGTGGCTTGGATAAATGATTTTGAAACTTAAAACATAACAACTGGGTCCTGCTTTCAAGCTCTAAGTAGAAAAGAGAGGAACACTGAAAACATGTAAGATAGAATGAGGTGAGAAAGGTGGGTAATAGGCAGGGCCTTGACCATGTGGCTTGGTCTGTTTTCTGTTGTCTTAACAAAATACTTGGTAATGTATAAAGAATAGAGTTTTATTTAGTCCGTGGCTCTGGAAGCTGAGAATCATGACACCAGCAATTGAGGGCTTCCTGGATGCATTTTAACAGGGCAGAAGAAATCACATATAGAGGCAGACCCAGTGCCCTAGCTTGAGTCTCCTCCCCTTCTTAGAAAGCCAATAAAGTAACCAAAGGCAAAGTTTTGGAAACATGAAGTTTTGGGGGACACATCCAAACCACAGCACTGAAATTTCCTAGGACGCCACTTTGAAATCTGCAGGACTGTATGATAGAGTGGTTCACCTTGTACAGGCCACTCCCTTCAGGAAGGTATCCACATTTGTTTAGCATCTGACTGTACTGTGCATCCAGTGCTGGTCCACCCAGTCTCTTCACTTTGGACTTCCTACATCCTCTAACAGGCCTGGAAATGTCATTCCCTGCTGGATGATTTTAGTACCGATATGAATGAAAATTCTCCGGAAAAGTTTTCAGATCTACACCTGCCTGCATAGGCAGCACACTTGGCATGTGGTATTATTGTCTGTCTCCCCTTATTGATATCAGATAATAATATTTCACTGTGGAGACATGAGTGCCTTCCCCCACGCTATGCCTGGCTCATAGTTAGGTGTTTCCTGAATGTAAGATGATTTCGTTAGCCTATATTAGAAAATAAAATTCAACTTGCAGATTCAACATACAATCTCATTTGTCATCACCTCTTCCCCACTGCAAAGCACACCTACATATTTCAGACATATTTCCTCCTGATTTGAATAGTGTGATATTGTAATTTGTAATAATTGCCACAAATACAGTCTTTGCCCCTGCTTAGTGGCACACAGATCCTAAAAACATAGACTCTCTAAAGTGATGAATCTTTTCATATGACAAAGAGATGACTGATGGCTGGGGATGCCTGGGTAACCTCATGATGGTTGCCATGGGAACCAGTTAGTGATTAAAGGCCTGGAACTTTCAGCCCCCCTCAACCCCCTACCAAATGGGGAGAAAAAGGGCTGGGGGGTGTTGAATTAATTACTGGTGATTAATGATTTAATCAACTCTACCTATGTAATGAGGCTTTCACAAGTGGCCCAAGGGCAGGGCTTAGAGAGCTTCTGTTTGGTAAGAGGCTCCATAGCAGAATGGCTTGCACTCTGGAATCTCAGAGCTTCTGCTCAGAGAGTGGCATTCCTCGATCTGACTTGGCAGCTCTGTGTCCTTTGCCCTTCACCCAGCCCTGTACATCTTTTCTGTTTTCCTGCCCCTGAGTTGGGCCTTTTTATGGTAAGCCAGGACTAGTGTATAAAGTACTTCCCTACATGCTCTGAACATCTCTAGCCAAGGAAGGAACCTCTGATTCACAGCCAGTTGGCTGAAACACAGGCAAGAACTTAGATTTTTTTGGTAGATGCATGCAGTGGTGGGGTCATTCAAGATCTGATGCTGTCACCAGGTGGATAGTGTCAGAATTGAGTTAAATTATGTGACACCAGTAGGTGTCTGCAGAGAATTGGATTATTGCTTGGTGTGGGAAAAATTCACATATCTGATGCCAGAAGTGAAGAGAACTTCTCCTACAGAAAAAGACCTTTCGGCAAGACATTAATATCCATCTCTTGATCTTCAGACTAGACTTCGGATCACTAAGAAAAGCCTGGGGACAATGAGGTCACTCCTTAGAACGTCTGGAGGGGGAAATGTGACAGGGTTGCTGTCAAGTCTTAAATTAAAAGATCTCTGAGATTAAATTGAGAGAGACCCAAAATTGTTCTCCTTGTTTGGAATAGGAAAAGTATAACTTTCTCAGAACCCAAATTCCAACTCAATATCCACTTGAAGAACCTATTCTTCTTGGGGTAGTCGATATAATATCAGTCAATTGTGGGCAAGGTCAATCCCTTAAGTTTCATTCCTCCTGACTCAAGGATCAGACTCAAGTTCATTAAAGGTCAAATCAGGTGCTTGCTTTCCTGAAGGTCAAACGCAGGTGCTTGCTTTCCTGAAGGTCAAACTCAGGTGCTTGCTTTCCTTCAGGGTACCTATTCTAGGCCTGGCTGATTTCACATTTTGTTCATTACATAAGACATCTTGTATTCCACTAATTTCCATAATGAGACTCTAACAGTCGTTACACTAACACAAAATCTTCTAGTATTGATGGCAGCATGGATGACCTAAGGTGTGTATATTTACATTGATGGTCTCCCGTAGTCGATTCATACTGACCATCTTCCTGCTTTGAACCCTGCTCACTGTTCCTGGTATTTCAATTTGTGATTAAGGTAGCTAACCAAGCCTTAGATAATTGCCAAATCCAATATGTTCATGGTGTCATGTTGGTTATGTCAACCATACTTCACATGCTGTAGACGTCTGAAGGCACAGGAAAATGTGCCCGTCTCTCAAACAATTCTGGTCACTGGATTTGTTTTGCCTCAGTCTTCCTCTGTTCTTAGCATCCAAACAACCTTTCTCTTGCCACCCTCCTGCCAGAAGTGCATGGAGATGTTGCAGGTTGTACCTCCTAAAGGTCCCAGAGGGAGGGCTGCCCAGATCTCAGCTCTGACCTGAGGCTGAAAGTTCTGTTTCCTGCCTCGAAGAAAATGAAGGCACAGTATCAGAAAAGCAGGACTAGGGCCTCTCTGCAGTGTCTTCTACCACTGTGCGCCTGTGTGATTTTCCTTCCGCTCAACCCAGAAGGGGAAAACAAGCTTGCATTTAATTAGAATAAGACCACATTACAGCATAAGGAAGCGGAGCCACACAGCTGGGGCTAGGAACATAGATATGACAGTGGAGCCACTGCAGAGTAAGGACTCGGTCCGCTGACCACACAGAATGACCTCAGCCGATGACAGCAGGCAGTGTGTCTGAATTTGTTGTTTACATCTAGACGATGACTCAAACTCAGCCAAGAGTTTGTCATTTCCGAGCTCTGGCTCTGCCATATTAGTGGTCCTTTGGGACCATAGTGGACTTTGCTAAACTGTCTGGATTAGGGGAGGGTGAGGAGTGTGAGGAGGGAGGGTGAGGAGGGAGAGGAGGGAGGGTGAGGAGGGTACTGAAAGAGCTGAGGACACATCACACTGCACTTCAAATATCATCATGTCCTGTAGGAGCACTCCTCTTAAGCCAGGGGACAACAAAAATCTGGTTCCTCAAAAACTACCAATAGGAGGGAAATAACCTTCCAGACAAAAGCCACCGTTCTCCTTTGTGACAAGAACCCCCTGACAGGTTGGGTAAGAGAGACATTTCAGTTAGCCAAACATAAGTGTTTATGAGTTAATCTTGCCACTTTTCCTTCCTTTAATAACCTAGTTCACTCTCATTTTAATTCCACAATCAGGTCAGAAGACAGCCTTGGATGGTAGTCTCCATCTCTCACTTTGTTGAAGACAGTGTCTCATCGTTTGCTGCCTCACGTGGTGGCTGACTGGCTGGTTGGCTTCTGGGTGCTCTCCGGTCTCCACCTCCCATCTCTCCACACAGGCACTGGGATTACAGATGAACATTTCCATGCCTCCCTTTAACCCAAGGTTCTGGGGCTGGGAGCTCAGGTGTGCAAGGGCTTTACCCACTGAGCCATCTCCCCAGCCTGAACTAAGTTTATTTTGACTGTTTTACTTGGAATGTGCTGTGTTTGAACAGACTCTAAATTAGCCTAGATCTCTTGTTCCACCAAACCTGATGACCCAAGTATCTCCTGGGAACCATCTGATGGAAGGCGAGAGCCAGCTCCAGTAAAGTGTCCTCTGATCTCCACAAGTGTGTCAAGTGAGTGTCCATATTACACACGTACCTGTGTACACACTAAATAAATGAATACAAACAAAAAGGAAAAAAAGTGAACTTGATAAGTTACCAAAACATGTTTTAAAAAATGGAGAAATAAGGAGGCCTGTCTTCAAGGGCATTGGGAAGATTTAAACACTGACTAATGGTAAGTGTTTAGGGCAGTTAGGATGATACTTTATTAGTGGTAATTTGGAATATCCATGTAGCTTCTGTCCCAAATTGAGCCATTGGGTTATGTTGGCTTATGTCTTCCTCCTCCATGGTCTATGGTTCACTCTCAGAGGAGTCCAGTCACTGGTAAAATCCCTCAGACTTTAACTTGAATTAGCAAGGCTGCTGAAGATGTAGACAGTAAGGCCTCCTGATTAGGGATTCCGCTTCAATAGCCTGATGTGATGTCCCCTAATTTGCATTTCTAATACTTACCTGGGACGGGGCTACAGTTGCTTTGGAAACCACATGCTCCTGTAGCTTCCTGAGAGCGCTTCTAAAAGAAGAAACTTGGGCCCATCTTGCTCCGGACGTCCCTTTTGGAACAATCGTGAGTACCCTTCCTTGCCCCAGACCCCATCCCTGGGCACCAGCCACTCCAGGGAAGACCTGCCCAACTCGGCCCCAGGTTCTGGCCACCGGGCAGGTTCCCTGCTAGCCCCACCGGGAAGGATCCCCTTCTCCAAGACCCCTGGCAGACCCTGCAGTCTCCACGCCCTGCCACCACACCCATCCGCCTGAGCCCCAAGCCTCTTCCTGAGACTTAGAGGCCGGCCCCCAGCTCCCATCTTGCTCCGGACTTCCCTTTTGGAACACTGACTTCCCTTTTGGAACACTGGTCTGTCTGAACCAAGTGTGCGGATAAGGCCAAGAACGAACCACAAGGAGATGGGCAGACGTCAAGGCAGAAACATATACAACAAAATGAATAGCAATACAGCATCACCAGGCCCTAGCCCTCCTCCAACACCTAGACCTGAACATCAGAAATTGGAAGAAGCAGAAGAAAACAGCCTTATGAATGACATCATGAAGAAGCTAGAGGCTTGCGTAGAGGAAAAGACAAAAAAATGTGAAGAACGCTGTAAACAACTAGAGGAAAGGGCAAACAAATTAGAAGAAATCAATAAAGTCCTGGAAGAAAACAATAAAATACTGAGAGAAAATCAAGAAAAATCAATGAAACAAATGAAGGAAACAGTCCAAGACCTGAAAAGGGAAATAGAAAAAATGAAGAAGACACAAACAGAGGGAATGCTGGAAATAGAAAATCTGAGAAAACGATTGGGAACTTCAGATGCAAGTATAATCAACAGAATGCAAGAGATGGAAGAGAGGATCTCTAGCGTTGAAGATACAGTAGAAGAAATACATTCATCAGTCAAAGAAAACACTAAAACCAACAAAGTCATGAACCAAAATGTCCAAGAAATTTGGGACACCATGAAAAGACCAAACCTAAGAATAATAGGGGTCGAAGAAGGAGAAGAATACCAACTCAAGGGCACAGAAAATATATTCAACAAGATCATAGAAGAAAACTTTCCCAACTTAAAGAAGGAAATGCCTATGAAGATACAAGAAGCTTATAGAACACCAAACAGACTAGACCCCCAAAAAAAAGTCCCCTCGCCACATAATAGTTAAACAACTAAACGTACAGAATAAAGAAAGAATATTAAGAGCAGCAAAGGAAAAAGGCCAAGTGCTTATAAAGGCAAACCCATCAGAATAACACCAGATTTCTCAATGGAGACTTTGAAAGCCAGAAGAACCTGGACAGATGTAATGCAGACACTAAGAGACCATGGATGTCAACCTAGACTAATATACCCAGCAAAACTTTCAATCACCATAGATGGAGTAAACAAGACATTCCATGACAAAGCCAGATTTAAACAATACTTATCCACAAACCCAGCCCTACAGAAAGCACTAGAAGGAAAATTCCAACCTAAGGAAGTCAGATACACCCTCGAAAACACAGGCAACAGATAAAGCCACAGCAGTAAACCCCAACGTATAGAAGTACCCACACATCACCACCAAAAAATAACAGGAATGAACAATCACTGGTCATTAATTTCCCTCAATATCAATGGACTTAATTCACCTATAAAAAGACATAGGCTTACAGAATGGATACAAAAGCAGGACCCATCTTTCTGCTGCATACAAGAAACACATCTCAAATTCAAAGATAGACACTACCTAAAAATAAAAGGCTGGGAAAAGACTTTCCAATCAAACGGTCTTAAGAAACAAGCGGGTGTAGCCATCCTGATATCCAGCAAAATAGACTTCAAACTAAAATCAATCAAAAGAGATCAAGAAGGGCATTACATACTCATCACAGGAAAGATCCACCAAGATGAAGTCTCAATTCTGAATATTTATGCCCCAAACACAAGGGCACCCACATATGTAAAAGAAACATTACTAAAGCTTAAATCACATATAAAACCCCACACGTTAATAGTGGGAGACCTCAACACCCCACTTTCACCACTGGACAGATCTCCCAAATTGAAACTTAACAGAGAAATAAAGGACTTAACTGATGTCATGACTCAAATGGACTTAATCGATATCTACAGAACATTCCATCCCAACAAAAAAGAATATACCTTCTTCTCAGCACCCCATGGAACCTTCTCTAAAATTGACCACATACTTGGCCACAAAACAAATCTAAACAGATACAAAACAATTGGAATAACCTCCTGTGTTCTATCAGACCACCATGGTCTAAAGTTGGATTTCAACAACAACAAAAACTACAGAAAACCTGCAATCTCATGGAAACTGAATAATACCCAACTGAATCACCAATGGGTTAAGGAAGAAATAAAGAAAGAAATTAAAGACTTCCTAGAGATCAATGAAAATGAAGACACCACATATCCAAATTTATGGGACACTATGAAAGCAGTACTAAGAGGGAAATTCACTAAATGCCCACATAAATAAGTTGGAGAAATCTCACACTAGAGACTTAACAGCATACCTGAAAGCTCTAGAACAAGAAGAAGCACAGTCTCCCAGGAAAAATAGACGCCAGGAAATTATCAAAGTGAGAGCTGAAATCAATAAAATAGAAACAAAGAGAACAATACAAAAAATTAATGAAACAAAGAGTTGGTTCTTTGAGAAAATCAACAAGATAGACAAGCCCTTATCCAAACTAACCAAAAGACAGAGAGAGAGCATCCAAATCAACAAAATCAGAAATGAAAAGGGGGACATAACAACAGACATTGAGGAAATCCAGAGAATCATCAGGTCATACTTCAAAAACCTCTATTCGACAAAACTGGAAAACCTAAAAGAAATGGATAACTTTCTGGATAGGAACCACATACCTAAGTTAAATCAAGACCAGATAAACTATTTAAATAGTCCAATAACCCCTAACGAAATAGAAACAGTCATTAAAAGTCTCCCAACCAAAAAAAGCCCAGGACCAGATGGTTTCAGCGCAGAATTCTACCAGATCTTCAAAGAAGAGTTAATACCAATACTCTCTAAATTGTTCCACACAATAGAAACAGAAGGAACATTACCAAACTCCTTCTACGAGGCTACAATTACCCTAATTCCTAAACCAAACAAGGATACAACAAAGAAAGAGAACTACAGACCGATCTCCCTCATGAACATTGATGCAAAAATACTCAATAAAATACTGGCAAACAGACTCCAAGAACACATCAAAACAATTATCCACCATGATCAAGTAGGATTCATTCCAGGGATGCAAGGGTGGTTCAACATACGAAAGTCCGTCAATGTAATACACCATATAAACAAACTCAAAGAAAAAAACCATATGATCATCTCACTGGATGCAGAAAAGGCATTTGACAAAATCCAACACCCCTTCATGATAAAGGTATTGGAGCGATCAGGAATACAGGGAACATACCTAAACATAATAAAGGCAATTTACAGCAAGCCAACAGCCAACATCAAATTAAATGGAGAGAAACTCAAAGCAATTCCACTAAAATCAGGAACGAGGCAAGGCTGTCCACTCTCCCCATACTTATTCAATATAGTACTTGAAGTTCTAGCCAGAGCAATAAGACAACATAAGGAGATTAAGGGGATACAAATTGGAAAGGAAGAAGTCAAGCTTTCCCTATTTGCAGATGACATGATAGTATACTTGAGCGACCCCAAAGATTCCACCAAGGAACTGATACAGCTTATAAACACCTTCAGCAACATAGCAGGATACAAGATCAACTCAAAAAAATCAGTAGCCCTCCTATATACAATGGACAAAGAAGCGGAGAAGGAAATCAGAGATACATCACCCTTTACTATAGCCACAAACGACATAAAATACCTTGGGGTAACACTAACCAAGCAAGTGAAGGACCTATATGACAAGAACTTTAAGTCCCTGAAAAAAGAAATTGAAGAAGATGTCAGAAAATGGAAAGATCTCCCATGCTCATGGATAGGCAGGACTAACATAGTAAAAATGGCAATCTTACCAAAAGCAATCTACAGATTCAATGCAATCCCCATCAAAATACCAACACAATTCTTCACAGACCTGGAAAAAATAATACTCAACTTCATATGGAAAAACAAAAAACCCAGGATAGCCAAAGGAATCCTGTACAATAACACAACTTCTGGAGGCATCACGATCCCTGACTTCAAGCTCTACTATAGAGCTACAGTAATAAAAACAGCTTGGTACTGGCATAAAAACCGACATGTGGACCAATGGAATCGAATTGAAGACCCTGACATTAATCCGCACACCTATGAACATATAATTTTTGACAAAGAAGCCAAAAGCGCACAATGGAAAAAAGAAAGCATCTTCAACAAATGGTGCTGGCAAAACTGGATATCAACATGTAGAAGGCTGCAAATAGATCCATATCTATCACCGTGCACAAAACTTAAGTCCAAGTGGATCAAGGACCTCAACATAAATCCAGCTACTCTGAACCTGCTAGAAGAGAAAGTAGGAAGTAGTCTTGAACGCATTGGCATAGGAGACTACTTCCTAAATAGAACACCAGTAGCACAGACTCTGAGACAAACAATCAATCAATGGGACCTCTTGAAACTGAGAAGCTTTTGTAGAGCAAAGGATACGGTCAACAAGGCAAAGCGACAGCCTACAGAATGGGAAAAGATCTTCACCAACCCCACATCTGACAGAGGACTGATATCCAGAATATATAGGGAATTCAAGAAATTAGACATCAAAATGCCCAACAGTCCAATTAAGAAATGGGCTATAGAACTAAACAGAGAATTCTCAACAGAGGAAACTCAAATGGCCGAAAGACATTTAAGGAACTGCTCAACATCCCTAATCATCAGGGAAATGCAAATCAAAACAACTCTGAGATACCACCTTACGCCTGTCAGAATGGCTAAGATCAAAAACACTGAAGACACCTTATGCTGGAGAGGATGTGGAGCTAGGGGAACTCTCCTCCACTGCTGGTGGGAATGCAAGCTTGTACAACCACTTTGGAAATCAATATGGCGCTTTCTTAGAAAATTGGGAATCAATCTCCCCCAAGATCCAGCTATACCACTCTTGGGCATATACCCAAGAAATGCTCAACCACACCATAAGAGCACTTGTTCAGTTATGTTCATATCAGCATTGTTTGTAATAGCCAGAACATGGAAACAACCCAGATGCCCTTCAACTGAAGAATGGATAAACAAAATGTGGTACATATACACAATGGAATACTACTCAGCAGAGAAAAACAATGGCATCATGAGGTTTGCAGACAAATGGATGGATCTAGAAAAAATCATCCTGAGTGAGGTAACCCAGACTCAGAAAGACAAACATGGTATGTACTCACTCATAGCAGGATACTAGACATGAAACAAGGATGACTTGTCTGCTACTCACATCACCAGGGAGGCTACCTGGAAAACAGGACCCCAAGAAAGACACAGGGATCACCCAATGACAGAGAAAT